GGACCAAAATCAGCTATACTGGTTCATAGTGTTCCCGAGGGTGACAAAATTCAAACTAAGTGTTTTTGTAGCTGACATAATTATGACATAAATTAGGTATAACTTTTGAACTGTGTCGATATGGGTCTCGGTCGTACTTTACGCCCACGGTATAAAGCTAGCAAGTCAGCTCAGCTTTGCTCAGCATATTTATGAAGGTGTAAAGCTTAATAAACATTCTTTAAAAGTTTTTTAAAAAAAATTTCTTCCAGAGTTGAATTTTATAAAAATCACAGTGAACTTTTGTTTTAAAAAATTCGTAAGAAAGGAAAGTTTTTTGCTTTTTCTGAAGCAACGGCTGTTCCTACCTTGCCCAAAAACAATACAGCTCTTCTATAGAGCAGCATGGATCAAATGTAAAAAACTAGAAGTCTCTACGATGTCTCGTTATTGAGATTTCTTGCTTGCTTGCTTGTTTGCTTACAGAAAGCGTATTTTGCGATTTTCTCAGCAATGCCTCAATCAATTTGAAATCTGTTTTTTGCAAATGATGTAAAATTTCAGGCACAAACTTTTCTTCTCGGACCTTTTATAACCAATTTTGCTTCATTTTCTCACAAAACGCAAAAAACTGATTTTTCAATATGAACAAAACCAATAGATTCACACGTAAAAACGGTGTGAATATAAAATAAAACCGTTCAACTCGTGGAACAAAAATAAAATTTGATAATGAAAATCCAGAGAGTGGCAATGTCAAAATCTAATTCTTTGACATTTGATTGTTGAACAATATAAACATGTTCGGAGATATTATAATAGATAATTTTGATGAAAAAAATATTTTCACTAATTTCATGGATTTATCGCTTTAAAAGCAATGTTTAAGATTCTAACAGCATAAGCATTTTTCAATAAGCAAACTATTGCGTAAAATTAAGTTAATATGAGCAAAGTGTAGTTAAATATTGTAAAGTGAAGCAAAGTTAACCAAAGTATAGTAGAATGTTGCAAAGTGTAGTAAAATAGTAGCAAGTGTAGTTTAAGTGTGGTAAAGTGTTGTAAAAGTATAGTCAGTATAGTAAGAGTATAGCAAGTGTAGTAAAAGTATTGAAAGTGCAGCATCCTAAAACTGTTTAAAACTTTAAAAACCAAAATGTTTAAAGTTGATGTGCATTAATTTTGAAATAATGCATATTTTACCGTACCATTTATTTATAAATAGTCAATATTATCGCAACTTAAGAACCGCTTATTATTTGAAATTTCATGCAATAAAATTCTTTTAAGTCTTGAGGAAATATTAACAAAAATAAAATGAATCTTTTATCATATAAAAAAATAAAACTGTTAAACTAAATTCAAATATTTCAACATTAAGGATCGTCAAAGAACAGTAACGAAAGAAAAGTGCGCTCATAGAAATAATTGTATGGTTTTGAGGAATATCAAATATTCAAATATGTACAAATTCTAATATTTTTTCTATGAGTGTTAGAATCAATGTTTTTGACATTGTTGGTTTTATGGAAAATGAAATGTTATCAACACTTTTGGTACTTATTCTTAAAAAGTTTGTTGAAAAGTTAATCTTGTTGATGAGCTTTTTTAAAAATTTAAACTTAATACAAATGGTCCTTATTAGTTTTTTAATGTAAGGTTGCGTGAAAAAATCAAATTCGAGAAGACATTCTTAAAGCTAAAGCAAAATTTTTCATAATTTTTTAATAATCAATAAAAAACATTACTTCTGAATTTTAAAATAAAGTTTTCAATTAAAAATGCTCATTTTTAAAAACAAAAGTACAACATTTCAGGTTTTTTTTTGACAAATTTCTTTACAAACGTAAGGTATTAATTAGAAATTTCTTTGACATGAATGAAATTATTTCTGCAAAAATAAAGTACAGAAAAGTAGGAGTAAAGTGCACTAAAGTGTACTAAAGTGTGGTAAATTTAAGCTTAGTGTGGTAAAGTATACTAAAGTATAGTTAAGTAAATTAAAGTGTAGTAAAGTATAGAATAGTGTACTTTAGTATAGTTAAAAGGAGAAAAGAGGAGTTAAGTGCAGTAATGTTTAGTAATTGCAGTGATTGTGATACATTGTATAGTAAGTGTACTGAAACATAAGTAAAAATTTGTAAAGTTGAGTAAAAACGTAGTGATTGCAGACAAAGTGCAGGGAGTTCTATGGTCTTGATTATTGATTTTTTCCTATCTTTTGAGCTTGAGTATTTTGAAAAATAAAGTAATTTAAGTAAAATCAACAATTTTTCAACTGGCTATTTTGACATTGCCTCTATGAAAATCTTTTGAAATCTGAATGAAAATTTTGATATTTTCATAAAATTTCGAATTCTTTAATAAAAGATTTTGTTTAATCGTAGATTTTGAGTTTCCTCACTTTGATTTTAACTGACAATCTTAAAAAGTCTCAATTTTAATTTAAAACTCATACTTTGATTTGAATTGTTTGAATAAACAAAGAAATTACCATTTTGTATTACACAGGTTCAGACAGAAAAAAAACATATTTTTCAATACTGGGGGGGGGGGGGAAATAGGTGCTTTGTTCCGGAAAAATACTATTCAAATCTACTCGAATCTAGGACCCATAGTGTAAGACAACGAAATTTATTCCGTTATTCTTTCAAAAAATTTCAATTTCTCGCACTTTTTAATGAGTTTGTCAAAATTGCTTTATTAGATGTCTAGTAATTTTAAAACCATTTAAAAAACTAAAACACAGCATATTTTTATCTAGTTTATAAGATTTAGTTTTGAATACAATATTGTAAAATTGTTGAAAATTACACAATTCAGTTCAAAAATTGTGAAACCTTAAATACCTTTTTGTATGAAGAACTTGATCAAATTGATAATTATATTTTTAGAAAAACATTCGAGTAGATAGTAAAGTAACCCACATGAAAAATAAAGTTTAAATTTGACAATTTTATGAAAAGTAATTAAATATGTTACAACTTTTTTTAACCTGATCAATATTTTGTTGCAAAATGGTGAAAATTTATTTATTGTAATGTTATTTAATGTTTTGCACAAAAGGACAATAAGTCCACTAAGAAATATAGGTTGATTAAATATCTCACTGTGAGGTAATAAGTCCACTTACGATTTCAAGTGATCTAATTGCCTCATAGTGAGATATTAAACAAGAATCCTAAAAATGTTGCGGATTTATTAACTTCAAGTGAAGACAAAAATCCCACACACAAATGGAAGTGATTTTTTTACCCGCACGTGAAAATAATTATTTCACCTTAAATTTTAATTTTGTCTAAGTGGACTTATTGTCTTGCAGTGAAAATATTAAGACCACTTGAAAAATTAAAATTTTATAAGTGGCCTTATTGTCTCTCCGTGATTTTTCATTTTTCGGGTTTATTATCCTCTAGTGTTGTGGACTTATTATTTTTCGGTGCAATTGTCTAGCCCATTTTTTAAGAAAATGAAGCAAAATTGGTTATAAAAGGTCCGAGAAGAAAAGTTTGTGCCTGAATTTTACATCAACAGATTTCAAATTGGTTGCAGCATTGCTGAGAAAATCGCAAAATACGCTTTCTATAAGCAAGCAAACAAGCATGCAAGTTAATCAGCAAGAAATCTCAATAACGAGATATCGTAGAGACTTCTAGTTTTTTACATTTGATCTGTGCTGCTCTATAGATGAGCTATATTGTTTTTGGGCAAGGTAGGAACAGCCGTTGCTTCAGAAAAAGCAAAAAACTTCCCTTTCTTACGAATTTTTCAAAACAAAAGTTCACCGCGATTTTTATAAAATTAGACTTTGGATGAAAAAATCTTTTAAAGAATATTTGTTAAGCTATAAACTTTCAAACTTATGCTGAGTGAAGCTCAGCTGACTCGCTAGTTTATACCTTCAAACTTATGCTGAGCAAATCTTGGTCTATCCATAAATATTTGATGGTACGGTGTGAATATATCCTCATTGGGTTCTACCCGATACACTAGTTTTACAAGTGTTTTCACTTGGTTAATGAGATCTCAATTTTGCGACTGCAGAACGAACGAACAAAGTGCAAAGTGCCTTTTAAAAAATATCGAAATATGACATTTCTCTCAGGCCGGTCTAGTATGATCACGTATAACGATAATAAAAAGAAGATGGAAAATACCCTTTCTTTAGCTAATTTGTAGCGCTTTAGCATCGGCAACATCAAAAAGCACATTCGGAATTTTTATGATGCTCAAGATCTCGTTTACACAATGACGTTGTGGGTCGTTTTGTTCCAGAGGATTTTCGTAAGCTTCACGAAAATACTCACTGAATGCGCTGGCATTTTCTTTGATGGTGATGAACATTTCACCCAAATTTGTCAATGGAGGCATTGTTTTTGAACCTTTAAACCACGTTTTTTTTGCAAATTTTGCTATTCGCCAAACTGAATCAAAAATCTTCAACATGAACCAAATTTAATGTGATATATTAAAAACTAGCCGTTTTACGTGGATCTTTATTTACGCTTGCACCTGAAATCAAATGTCGTTACTGACTAAATAAATGTAAAGGAAATTTAGTTTTTCTCGCGTGTACGAGTGTATTTGAAGGAATCATAAAATATTTAAATTAAAATCATTTAAAATTTATGAATCATCAAATTAGTAACTTATTAAAGACGAGTAAAGACGTTATTGTAAGTTTCGTCAATTGATTGGCCTTGAATTTTAAATTTCTCTTCTCATAAGAAAATGAGCTAAGTCATGAAATTGATCCTAGACAACTTGGGCAGTCTTATTATACTTTGACCTCAGCTTAATTTCATTTGCATGACGTTCCGTTAATTATAGATTAAGGCAATGTCATTATCATATCATGTTCAGCAGCAGATTTATTTAAAATAAAAATAAATAATAAAATTGTCATTTGTTGGCGATAAAATAAAATAAAAGTGAGATACATGCGTTAGTGCAATATTAGTTTGTTTTGAAGTTTTCACCTGCGAACAAGTAATTAAGGCTTTAAAAAGCCAGTGGCATTCATGGGAAAAATAACAGTAGAAAATGTCACATCGGCTGCTAGCAATGCATTCAATTCCTTTGCACGAAATAAGTCATATGTCATTCCGGGAATTTACGATTTAGAAGTAGAGGATACTAATTGGGTCCTCACCTCATCTTTTATAATTTTTACAATGCAAACAGGTTTTGGATTATTAGAATCAGGCTGTGTCTCAGTTAAAAATGAAGTTAATATCATGATGAAAAATATTATCGATGTTGTATTAGGTGGATTTACTTACTGGATTTTTGGATATGGACTTTCATTTGGAAGGGGCTCATTATCAAATCCTTTTGTAGCTCTTGGAGATTTTCTGATTGATCCCGGTAAGTCACATTCTATTATAGTTTTTATCAATAATAAATGTTCACATAGGAGCTAATTGTAAATAATTTCAAAAAGGATACATGCATATACAGGCATATACATAATTGGATAATTTCACCGTCACATGAAATGATTTTTTTAAAACCTTATTTGCATTTATAAATACGTCATATTTTCAGGTGTTGATGATCCTTTAATGGGCCAAATTTTCGCAGCTTTTCTTTTTCAACTCTCATTCTCAACGACAGCCACAACAATTGTAAGTGGAGCAATGGCTGAAAGATGTAATTTTAAAGCATACTGTTTATTTTCGTTGTTAAATACAATAATTTACTGTGTAAGATTAAATTTATTTTATTGGTAAAAATTGATTAAATTAATTATGAATTTTTTTGAGGCAGGTACCCGCAGGTTGGGTAAGTAATAACACAAATATGAACATCAGCTTCAAATGTTTGGTACTATATTTAAAAAAATGCATAGGTGTGGGGTGAACATGGATTTTTAAGGAATTTAGGAGTAGTCGATATTGCAGGCAGTGGACCAGTCCATTTAATTGGTGGAGCAAGTGCGTTTGCTAGTGCTGCTATGTTAGGGCCACGACTAGGTAGATATTCACATGGAAACGATCCATTACCTCTTGGTAATCCTGTTAATGCGTGCATGGGTATGTTTTGTCTGGTAAAACGTTAATGAATAATTTAATAATTGATATTTTTAGGTCTATTTGTCCTTTGGTGGGGATGGCTTGCTTTTAATTCTGGTTCAACTTATGGAATCTCAGGATCGAAGTAAATATTTTTTTAATATATCTTTTATACTCAAATTCAATAATATCGATTAGGTGGATATATTCAGCTCGTGCAGCTGTCATGACAATGCTTGCTTCATTTGGTGGTGGTTTTTGGTCTGTCATGTATTCAATGATTCGAAATGATGGAAAAGTAGATATTCTCGATCTGATTAATGGGATTTTAGCATCACTTGTTTCGGTGACTGCAGGATGTTTTTGCTATGGTGCTTGGGAAGCAATTTTAGTTGGATTTATTGGTTCAATCCTTGTTTGTTTCCTAGCACCTATTTTTGACAAGATGGGTGTTGATGATCCTGTTGGAGGTACATATGAATAAATTTAAAACAGGAGTAATTCTTTATCCAACTTAAAAAATATTTTAGCATCTGCTGTTCATGGACTAGGTGGCATATGGGGTGTCATTTCTGTTGGATTATTTGCTGACAATCCAAAACCACTAGGCACTACAAATGGTCGTACGGGGCTTTTTAAAGGAGGCGGTTGGTACTTGTTTGGTATTCAGTGTCTTGCTGCATTATGTTTGTTAAGTTGGGGTATCTTGTCAACTTTCATTTTATTGTACATTATCAACAAAATCGTTCCGATAAGAATGGATCCAAATGAGGAACTCTTAGGAGCTGATTTGATGGAGCATAGAGTTAGGCACAATGCGGTAAAATTGAACATTTCTAATGTTTTCTATTATTGAATGAAAATATTTATTTACAAAAAAATCATAGATCGGGTTGTCTCGAGCTTTATCTGCACTGATTCCAATTGATGTAGAGCTAAGAGAAATGATGAATGTCCCAAAAATAGGACATAATCCAGGTCATGAAAAATGTCTCGCTACTATTCGCGTAAGTTTTTCTAATTTTATATTCTATTATATTGCTAAAATGTGATTTTATAGGAACAAATTGAAGAACATCAGAATTGGATTTCAAATGAACAATCTCCTCCACCAAAAAAACTGAGGAGACGAAGCAAACCTAAATCAACATTAGTAAAGAAAAGTGCATTCTCATCAAAAAGACGAAGTCCTCGAGCATTATCTTTCGGAACTCTTTCATATGAAAAAGATAAAAATTATTCTCCAAATCTTATTTTAAGACGTGGTGGTCATATAATTCCTGCTGATCGTGATAGTGTAGCACAAAGAAACGAATTTATGCCAACCATATCGAGTCGAGTTGATAAACAGAATGGAACACAATTTGCGTGGATTGATTAAATTAAATTGAATGTGTGCTTTATTGAATGTAGGATGATAATAAAATTTGTGGTGAGAAATGGCGGATAAAATTACAACATTCAATGAATTTTTATTGCGTGACGTAAGCATGAAATTACATTAGATCTGAAAAACTTAATTTAAGGATTCATTTAACAAATGACGTCAAGCATTTGAAATATTAAAAAGCTGTGTAAGGATGTGTGGCTAATGAACATTATTTTTGAATGACTACTAGAATGAAAATGTGACGACAGTAATGATAATAGCTACATGGATATAGAATAAAAACACAGTTGCATAAGTTTTTGTTTATTTAACATTTAATAAACAATCTTTTAAGGTGTAACTAAAAACTATCTATCATATCTTTATCATCATCATTATGATTTGATTAAGTTCTTAATAATCTTTCACATCATTTGACTGAATTATAGTTTTTTTTTCGTCTGAATTTTATTGATCGTAATAATAATATATATGTAATAAATAATAATCAATTAATAGTTATCTTATTAATTTCTCATAATTTACGTTATCATTATTTTAATTATTATTTTTATTTATTATTAATTTTGTCTTTTTTTGCAAAGCTTAAACTCAACATGTTTAATTATTTATTTTTGTTTATTGTAATATACAGTGCATATTGCAAAAAATCCATACACACAATCGTCTTCTCCAACATACATGTTCAATAATTTCTACCAATCAAATTTAGATACGATTTTATTTTCTTCAACAAATTCAAAAAATGGAATAAGAATGGAATTAATGTTATCGTCACTTTGCTATTAGAATATAGGGATTTATTATTTCATTATTTTAATTATCTTCTCATCATTTTTGTTGTTATGATCTCGCCATTTTTTCTGTTTAAATATGTTACATAATAAATGTGGATTAGCTTTGTTCTCACTTTCATTTATTTTTTTTTCTCTTACTTTTTATATTTTGTGGTCTATTTTTAAATACATAACAATGTAACTAGTTTGCCAATTTTGTTTAGGTTTTTTTTTTATTTGGGCGCTTTTAGAGTCATTAATCATTTGTGTAATTATGAAAGTCCATGATGTAGGAAACAAGATTGTATATAGAATACTAACAGGTAGATTAAGATGATTAATTCGTGATGGTTGTGTTACTTATGTTTGCTGTGTTAACTTAGGCAAAAACAGTCAAAAACTAGTATTCATGAATTTAAAATGTACTAAAATTAAACTTTTAAGTTTTCGGGTTGATTTCTGGTTTTTATCCATTAAACATCTTCTGTAGATGATATAACTTCGAAAATGACATTAATTAAAATTCGTAACAATCGGTTTTTGATATCACATTGTATATATTTGGGTTACTAAGCACAACTTTTAAATACACAAACAAATAGTTTTATTGAAATTTCTTTTTCCTTTAAATATCACATACTTTTTATGAAAGCCTTCTAATAGATTAAGTTATTTTTTTGGGTTGAGTAGAATTACTAAAAGTACTACTACTCTTAGTTCTGTAAGGATTTTATCAATAATTCAAAATCAAGGAAAATATTTGACAGAATTAGAATTTATTAATGGTTAATTTTCATTAATTAAGTTCTATTCAATCCTGTCTTAAATTAAACTTTATTAGGGATGAAGGAAGTTCTCAAATACATTCAAAAATTAAAAATAGAACAAAATTGTACCATACCTTATGCCATTAATTTTCGAAATCCAATCATCTACACTTTAAAACATTTTTGTATACCTTAAAAATTTAAAAGAATTTTTTTAAATTCAATCCTTTGCCATTTATATTAATAACCTTTTAGTTTTTCTTTTAGTAAAAAGATCAATGCCTTTTTTGTTCGGATTAAATAGAAGGGAAAGCTTTTTTAAACAGTGAGTATACACTGAATTCAATGGAATTTTTCTGAATATAATAATAGACAATATAGATTTAGTTGTTAAAGACAATAGAAAATAGTCGACTAAGAAGAAATTTCAAGGCATCGCGACTTAAGAAAAGGTAAAAAAAATTGTGTAAACTCGAACAGCAATTTACGATGTTAAAGTGGTCGAAAGCTTTATTTTGTCAATTCCATAAAATGCTGTCAAAGTGTATAGCACATATAATTTTTTACTCACTCATTAAGTGAACAAGCCTTGAATAATAGACTAGAAAAATGAACAAACTAATGAGACGATCTTTTCTACTTTTCTGTTTGTTTTTCAAAACACATTCAATATTAATAATTCTGAGCACATTAAAAAAAGCCACTCATCCATTCATCGATATTCTATCATATGTATGTAGTTGATTGATTATTGTAAAATGATAAGAAATAAAATTTATGCTTGTTGATTTCTTTAATTTTTTTTAAATATTTTCATAATAGTTTATTTGTGTTAAATTTTGAGGGTTATAAGAGTAATGTTGATGATAAATTGTACATGATTTTTTTTAAATTATTTATTCTCATCTATCATGCCCTTTTATTCGTTATTGAATATTCGATTTTAGTGAGGATTCTTTTTCAAAAACAATGAAAATGCTTTCATTTTTTAATACTTTTCGCTTTCATGTTACATAATGAAAAAAATAGTAAATTAATCAGCGAGTTATGTATGGTCCCAATTGTGAAAATTTAGGTCATCAAAAACCACCCAAATTCCCAACATTGGATATTGTCTTCGAGCAATAAAAAAACTTAAAGTGGATGAAAGTAATGGATTTTTTGAATATGATTTCATTCAGTTAATTTTCATGATATTTCTTTAATTTCTTTCGTTTCAAAACTACTTATTAATTAAATAGATTATCGTACGATCACCTACAATTCATTACAGCGAATACTCATCTTTGCTTCATTCTATTTATGTTATGTTTATAATCATAATTAAATACTTCAATAAGAGATGATTTTTTTTTTATTCATTTTAATTTACAAATTTCATACTATTTTTGTTCTTAATAGATTTTCGTTTCACTGCGCATTGTATTGTTTTAAGTAAGTTGGTGTACTATTGGGATTCTTCATATATTTATAAATATATCAACTATCATCAATTAATAACAAAATGTAACAGAAGAAAATAACATTGAGAGGAAAATGAGGAGAAAAAATCATTTACGACGCTTTTTCGATACGCAGTTTTGTAAAGATATCAATTATTTAGAGGCATTGATTATTCTCAAACGCATTACATAGGCGTAGGAGAAGGAAAACAAAGGGTTCTTATTATGTTTTTTGTTTGCTTATTTGTTTGTTCTCTAAAGTCCCCTGATCTTTTTTTAAAAATTCTTTTCTCTGTATGTATTCTTATTACAAGACTTGGTAAATTGAGATAACTTTAATGTAAATTTAAAATACCTTTAATGTTGTATTTATTGGACTTTCTTTAGAAAAAATTGTTTGCATTAGTTTGAGCTTGAAATGCTTAATTTTGAGAGATATTACGAAAGTTATATTTTTAAAGATTCTCATCTGTTACATAATTGTCTTCGTGCTTTCGAAGAGAATGAACAAGAAAATTTTGTAAAACTTTTAATTGTTTATTTCTATTTTTAATGATGTATTTGAAACTGTTACTAATTTTGTCCAATTTAAATTTTTAATTTAGATTTTTGTGACTTTATTGGAAAATAACAAAAGTAGACGTCTTGAAACGATCCTGAATGTTTATTCAGAAAACTGTTTATACTTCTGAGATCACTTAATTCCTCATTTTTTTAAAAAAAAAAATGAGCTACTAGAAATCAGTTAATAAAAAAAATTATTTCAATTTACCAATACACGCAATAGTTTTTCAGTAAAATTAAAATTTCAATATATAATATTTATATAAACTTTTTTTTTTTATTATATATTTAATTTTTATGTTGCGTGTGTGTGTGTGGCAATTTTTATTCGTAAACTTTCATTTCTCATTTTATATGTCACTAGATTAATTTTCTCACTTTATAAATTATTGATATATACTTTTCATTATTTATATATTTTTAAAGAGATTTTAAAACTTTTTTTATATAATTTTCTTTAAATATTATCAAGAAGTTAGAATAGGGATATTCATTGTTGTTTTGTTTTTTTTTTTGCTTTCATCTATATGAGAAAGATTAAGAGAAAAATTTGCTTAAAACTTGATCTTAAGATTTTCTTCGTATGAAAGAGAAAGAAATTAAATGAAAATTTCTTCCTTTTCATAGCTTTTTTTTTTAAATATTTGAAACAACAAAAAATGAATAATATGTATTCATCAGAGTCAAAAATATTTATATCCCGTTAAGTATGGCATTTTTAGCACTTTATGTTTTCCGTTTATTTCATAACTTCTTGCACATGATATTATGCACAGACATCATAATTTTCATTATAATTAGTATTTACTTATGCATATTATCTTGAAAATATTATCTACGCACATTATCAGGCTGTTTATTTCTTATCTCCAGGCATTTCCTCTTCTGGATCTTTAAGTGTGTGCCATTGAGCAATAGGTCTCCTCGGGGATGCAAGCATGTCTGACCAATGTCTTAATTCTGTGCCACTTGCATTGTATCCCAGAACAACCTTCCCAATAGGCTCCGATGTACCGATCCTATCGTAGTCAACAACTGTAACAACCAAATTTACTTTCTGGATTTGTAAAACAATCATGAAGACAATCATTGATGATGATGACGTTGAGAGGGTTGTTTCGTTGATAAGGTGAGCAAAAATAGAAAAGAAAGAGAAAAAACAAAGAGAAAAAAATCCATTAATCACATTCATATCAATATGAAATTCTGGCTTTAAATTATTGTTGATAGACACGCGAATTCTACTTCACGCGCGCTTTCACTACTTATTTTAAATATATTATAGTTGTTATTATTATTATTATTATTATTACATTATAAAGCTGTAAACATAAAAGACACATAATTATTTACACACTAAATATATAAATATATGTTGTATAAACATATTGGAGGTTTTGATATAACAGTAGATAGGGGGGTAGAAGGATAATAAAATAGATATGTTATGCTGTTTATTAATGTTATTTCAATGTGGGATTAATTCTTTTTTAAAGGTATAAAAAATTTGGGTGTTTTTTTTATCAATTAACAGTTGGAGGAAAAAAATCAAATAACTGGAAAGTGTCTTACCTCAAAACATGTAGTAATGAGAGATTATTTTATACAAACTTTTTTTATTTGTGGGTTTGGTGTCGGATGTCGTTTATTTGAGGGAAGTTTGTTTTGTCATTTTTTTTGTTAAGGTTATAAAGAAAAGGAAAATCTTCACAATTACCATATGTTTAAGAACGCCATTAAAATATAATTTTAGCCATATTCATCTTTTTGGTCTGCTTCATCTTCGTTCAAACGATGACTGGCGTTCTAAACATGTGATAATTTTTATCTAATTTTTCATAAAATTTTTTTAACAAAAATTCTCAACAAAATAATAAACAAACAAAATGCAAAATATTTTGGTATCCAAAAAACATTTTTTTAACGGCTCATATAAGGGTATAAAATTTATGATGGAATCGAAGTCACATGCATCTGAGGACATTTAGAAATTTTCATTTACATTTTACATTAACATCAAAGGATTTTTTTAATACTTGTGCAATCTTGGAATGGTAGAGGAGTAAGAAATTTTAATTCAAGAATTTTAAATTTTATAGTTTTACAGCAAAAATTCGTCGAGGAAAAACAGGAACACGTATCGAATGACTTTTTTTTGACTAATTTTCACAAAATAATTTACAATAAAGTAAAGTTACTTTTAAACAAATGAAATCCAGAAAACACAAGTAGAAAAGTGCAGCTAGTCATCGCACCGGTATAATAACAAAATATTAATCTTTTTGGCGCAATGTGTCTTAGAGCTAAGAAAGCTTTATTATGCAATACAGATTCTATATTATATTATTAAAAACAATATATTGCGTGATTGATTGATGCTTTTATATAATTTTCAAAAGCGCAATGAGGGACACAATTGGAACATTCGAAAGCTGCATTTTTAGAGCACTAGAACTAAATTTCCATCAAACCTTTATATGAAAAATAAATTATAATCATTAAAAAAAAATTCACTAAAACTGCCTTAATGGATGTTTGTAGCAATGAATGCAACAAAACCATCCGAAAAGCGCTATTTATGTGAATCAAAATTAAAAGTGTTTTTGATCTACAAATCATAATTTTAATTTTGGTGTATAATTTATTTTTATAGCCTATTAGGTACATTTTGTTAAATTTTCTGGTTGTTAAAGAATATTCATAAAAAATTGCAAGAATTCAATTGTGTTTAGATTTACAATTGATAAGTGTCAAACGAAATGTACAAGGCCACTTTTGGTTAAAACAGCATAGCGAGACATAAAAGACATCTATGAAATTAAACTATAAGAAAATGGGGATGGGGGGGATTTTTTTTGTGGTGAACTTGACTATAAACTAATATCATCTAAACTTTTTTAACATCTAATTATATAGTGCCAATTATTTAATGCTAATTTAAAGAGAAAATTCTCTGGAATTTTTTAGAATTTATAAAAGTTTTTTTAAAAAAAAAACTAAAGAATTTTATCTTCAATGGGATGCTATATCAGTGTAGAATTGTGTGTATTTTTCCAATTAGCGACAAATTATGATTCATTAAATTTTAATGATTAATTTTGTGTTAATTTGTGTGAGTTTATATGATGAAATTTAAAGATTTACAGGAAATGCATTGCGAAAATTGCATTAAGCATAATTTCTATTGAATAAGCACAAGCATGTGTTTCCAATAAATCCTTTTTTAATTTAAAAAATACATTTCAATTTTGATCAAATTTTAATAATGAAATTTCAAATTTCAACAAAATTGAATAAATTCCATCATTGGTATAGTAGTATTAATGAATGATTGATTGAAATTTTTGGCATAAAATTTAGAAAAACTTTATTTTCTGTTTTGAGCTTAATCGGAAAACGTCGCTGCACTGTTTTAGGAAAAAGTGGAAAAATTTGTTATTTTTTTATTGTATTTTACTGAATCGACAATGACCAATAATCATAAAATTGTGTAAGAATGTTTCGTAATGGATTTGGAACCATGTAATTAGTTAATGAAAACTCTCACAAAAATTAATGATATTGGTCAATGAAACTCTGTAAAAATTCTGAAGTGAATTTTGTTTGATGAGCTTTTCAATGAACTTTTTATATTGAGATGTGCCAAATGTAATGATTATTGTTAAAAATGGAACAATTTTTTTTTTGATGATTTAAATACTGGTAAACGGAAATGTAATATACTTGAGAGGTTTGCTTTTGTTTTCGAAGATTTTTCTTTACACACGATTCTCTCTCGCCTGTTTTTCTTTTTTTTTTGTTTAAACTGTGGACATGAAAATCATTTTTCATTTTTTTCGTATGATCAGAAAATTTCAGATTTTAGACTTTAAGAAAAATTGAATTTATGAAGGGAGAGAGAAATTGGTACGAAGGCTTTTATTTTTTTAGAATATTCATTTACGTATATTGTCATAATAAAGTTTTATTGTCGTGAAGTGTCTCTGTTTGGTTTGTAAATTTGTAAATTATCTACATTTTATAGTTTAACTTTGGTTTTGTATATTACCATTACGTTAAATACTTTAGTGATTTTAATATATATTGTGAAAAATTTCAGAGAAAGTTAAAGTAGAAAAGGGGTAGTAAAAGTAGGGTAGGGGGAAATATAGAATATAAAATTTTTGATGTATATTATATCACAACATTTATATATCTTTGTATATTTTTTGTAATTATCGGTATCATGCATACAGAACATATAATTCATAAATGTATAGCAATATATAACAATCAACTAAGTAATTCTTCAAACAAAAAATATTTGAATGCTCCACCGGAGAAAATAACTTGAACATTGTGTTTACGTCTTAAATATGCTGCTTTTTAAAATTTGAGAATTTGTGGAAAATAACTTAATTTTTAGAAAAAGATAATTCTTGGGAGTCTAAGTCAAAGTCCACGAAAAATAAAAACAAGATAAAAAACCACGAAAATACTCTAATAAATAAAAAAGCCACGATAAAAAAAAATTTTCTTCGGTGTTTTCATTCAAAACCAAACTTAACTCAAAATTAATTAAAATCATAGTTTTGATTAAAACATATCAATTCACAATTAAATCAATCTATATGTATCACATTTCGTTAAAGAAAACACGCGGGATTGTCATTTGTTGAAAGATACACGAACTTTGTGAGAATCATAGAAACGAAATCACGATTATATTCACATAATTTTCACAACAAAAAAGTCTTGTTTACATGTAAAATCAATACAAAAGATTGACAAAAATCGAATAAAAATAAAATAAATAAAAAGCAAGCACGTTGTTTGTAATCTCATACATAATACATGTATGTGGCTCTTCCAACAATATGTACGTAAATTTAGTACTTTGATGAAAGAGGCAAAGAGATTATTCTCTTAGAAAGAAAGAGACATTGGTTGTATATTTTTCGAAAACAAAGAATAAAAACTAATAAAACTTAATAACTTAATAAAAACACGCCAACACAAAATGTATTGAATTATATATAAATTAATACACACGCAACGAACATGATACATTTTCATTATTTGCACTTCAAGCTAGACATTGACGTTTGCGAATAGGTTTGTTGCGAAAGAAGTGGTTTCCTTCTTGGAAAAAAAAGTGGATGAATAAGAGACTTAAGTCACTTGTATTGAAAAATCTTCTATTTTTGATCATTTCAAAAAACAAAATATGAACAAAAAGTCTTTGTGGGTCTATGTTTATATAGCGCTTCAAATCTTCGCTCATGTCAATATCAACGTAATGTGATTATTATTAGATGCATAATATATATTTTTTTATATCTCTTTATGATAGTATAGTACATTTTCGCATACTTGTATTTGTTCGAATGGTACTTCAAATGAAAACGACTCATTGTAGTATGGATTCAATGTACATTTCTTGATACTTGTTTTCTTTTTCTTTAAACGCTTTCCATTCTGCATAATTGCTATCTTAACATATGGATCTGAAAATAAAATTGATTTTTTTATGTCACTTTTTATAATAAGAATTTGACTCTTTTGCTGTAAAAATTTCCTAATGAAACATAAGCATTAAAAATCCAAAGTAAAAAATACTCAGTTCATTCTTTCTTCACTACACAAGAAAGAATTTCAACCTCGACACGATATATCTACCTGATAATCCACCAACGTCCATCTTCTTCAGATTCTTTGCCTCCAATATTACGACAGTTAACTTGCCAGCCGTTGGAACGTATCTCAATGAGAAGCAAATGTCACCCAACTTTTCCTATATAATTCCATCATTCAGTTATTGAGTAATGTCGCCAGTTTACCAGACATTATCGTAACAACAATTCAATTACAGTTTTATATATTATTTATATTATTTTTAAACGAAGAAAGGAAGCGACGCAATATTTCCAAGATGTAAAATAAATCCAATGTTGTTTATCATCAGGAGGTTGATGTCAAGACATTATGTTGCCCATGCGTTGATTTAATTTTGTTTTTTTGAAAAAATTATGGTAATGAAGTGAAGAGCATCATAGAAAGTAAAAAAGAAGAAAGAAGAAAAAGAAAGAAAAAAAGCATTAGATTAATTTTGTTTTGCATGATATTTCTTATTTGACCATTTAACTTAAATATAAGGTTCTTTTATTGCTTTAAAGCTTGTTTAAATATTTTGTACATCCTACATGAACCTGCATGAATCTTAATTTATATTTCTTGATATGATATTAATTTAAATGTAGATTTACTTTTAAAAAAAAATGGTAATGGCAAAATACGAAAATTAAAAAAAAAGCTTTACAAAAACTTTTGTCATTGAAAATATTTATAAACATTAAAGAAAACACAATGGAAAATTTTCTTGTTTACTAGTAGTTAATCAAAGTTCCAAATTTTGAATTTAATGCACAAGAGAGAACTTATATTTTCGTATTTTTAAATATTCAAATTATGCTAATTTTTTAATTATTACATTTTATATACTGTAATTCAAATACTTGTGACTTATCCATATCAAACTGTTATTAGCGGGGGTATAACATGCAGTAAAGAGTATAACAAGTCAAAAGAGCCATGTAAAATTCATAAATTTTCCATTGTCAAATCTTCAAATCTTATATTTTTTACATGACAAAACTTTTTACCATTATTGGACTTGAAAGAAATTGAAAATTTATCATTATTTTTACTTTATTATTTCTTTTTTAGTTGAGCATTTAAAACATAAATAAATATTTATATTTAGAGCATATGTAGTGAAAAAGGATGTGATTATAATACATAACTTTGACAAAAAAAATTCTACAACACAACATAGCACTTAACGTTGAAAGGATGATGACAAAAAAATACTTAAAATCTAAACTTATAACAAAAATTCATTCTTAGTGAAAGGATTTATCAAGGAGGAGAGCAAAATGATTGTTTCTATCCTCCAAAACATACTTTTCTCAACTCTTTTATAGCATTTTATTCTATGCAATCATTCGCCTTAATTTGTATGATAATTTAAAAAAAATAATAATTTGAATTTGCATCAAAATATATAAAGTGAAAAAAAAACATAAAAAATCAAAAGTAAAGTGTATTAGATCTGAACAATATTGTTACATAAAAATCACGTTGGACAGCTGTATGGACAATTTTTTTGCCGTAACTCTATTCGTTTATCACCATCATTGCTCTAAATCTTGCTACAATAAAATGTACGACGCAATTCAATTTTTTTACATAAGTTTAATGAATTCTCAGTTGTATCATACTTGATTACAATGTCATGTAAATGGCATCAAATGACACTGAGATGAAACTTTTTTCTTGATTAAAAATTCTGCATTATCGTTGTGTATAAAAATATATAGAACATTGCCAATTCAAATTAATAAACACCCAGCTCAAGCAAAAGATTATATATTTTTTTAGACAATTGATTGATAATTTTTCTTTAAGTTTATGAGTGTATGAAACATTGTTTTAAGAGAAATCAAATAATGCTGGTGATATATGGATTGATCTTTATTCCAAATTGGTTTTATGTTTATACAAAAATTATAAACTTCTTTAGTGTAGTGTAGGACATTTATGACATAAAGTAAGAGAAAAAGTTTTTGATTGGGGAAGAGGAATTGAAGTGTGTGAGGAAATGTAAAGGAAAAAAATTTAAACATTCTATAATTACTTGCTGCATTCCGTTGCATCATCCTACAAAAAGCATTATTATAGACAACTAATTGTTATAAACAAAACTACTTAAAAGCTTTTTCTCTACTGCAACTAATGTCATACTAAATAATTTAATATAAAAAGGTCAATCATAATTGAATTTACGACAAAAAAAAATTAAAATTTAAGCTAGTGAAGAAGAAAACAATGCATTATAAAATCAAGACTTGCAATCTTAATCTTCACGTGAATTTTTAAAAATCATTTCAAAAATTTGAAACAAAATTGAACTAAAAAAATTATTTTATTAATCCAAATTATAACAAGAATTCGGGAACACATTTTTATCTTGTTTAATAACATTTTTCATTTTCGTAATAAAATGCTACAGTTTTCAAGGAAAATAATTTTCAAAGATATTATTTAACCATCATAATCGCCTATTAACTCCCTCTTTTATTGAACATGATATTTATCTTTAATTAAATCACCAACAGGCAAAAGCACTTATCAAAAAATAACTCGAGTCCAAAGTTTTTTAATGCCTATTTAAAGATCATTTTTGAAGTACTCTGAAAATATTGCTTTCAGCTTTTTTTGCCTTTGACACACCAAGTGAATAAAATCATCAAGCATAAACTCGCTATTAGACAACGTCGTAGCTGAAGGGTCGAGTTTTTTTTTGCTGCTGCAGAGGAGGACGAAACAACACTGAATATACTGCATCTAGTTCTCATTCAAATAAAACTAACATTTTTACATGGAAAAAGCATAATTCTTTTGGCTTTAAGTATCATACAACAAAACATTTACTTTTTCAATTACTTGAGATTTTGATTAATATTTTTATTTTCAATTATCAAAACCCAAGAAATCAAAATTAGAGCGGAAATAAAAATCTATGAGGACAATATCACAACATCGACAACGAATATAGCAACAAAGGTAATAATTTCAAAAGATATAAAGTAGAGAAAAGCTTTTGCACGAAAATAAACACCTTCCGAATTTAAAAGAATAAACATTGTGAACTTCTTAACATTCAACATAGAATCTCATGTGAGTAAAGAGAAGTTTTTGAATTGTTTAAAAAAAGTTTCCAATTCATGTACACGTTTTAGTTAATTTATTATTTTGCCAATGGATGTTACCAAAATTCTTTTTTTCTCTTGTTCACAAACATACCTCTTGATTTTTTTTTTTGTATTTTGTAGTCTAATTAGTTCTTTGATGTTGAACTTGTGGTATTATTTACATTTGTGGCTCACAACGGTTTTATAATTTGAAGCTTTTTGAAAATCGGTAATATTTTAGATTAAAAAATTGAAGATATTCAGCCAACATATGTATAAAATTTTATAAACAAACAAATTTGGAACATCACCCCACCTCTAAGAAATTTTTTATTCTATTTTAAGCTTTATTCATTAAATCTTCCAATACTGTCCCTGACAAATCAAAAAAAACCATTGATCATTATTAAGCCCAACATCAATTATAATACAACAAAAATGTCAAGGATATATGTTTTTAATGGAATCAAGAATTAGAAAAGAAATTTGCGATTTTTTATGATTTCAAAACAAAAAATCAATTTCTAACACTCAATAATTTTTTCTTATCAATCAATTTGATACTTACGCAAAATTCCAGATGAAATAGCCAGATTCGGTCCGATTCAGGAAAATAATTTTTTATTTTATTTTATTTTTTTAGAGATTGAAATTTTTGGAGGCATTTTTGCATGCAATTTAATTGGATGATTTTTCAATAAGATTTTGATCGATTTTTTAAGATTAAAGGTATTTTTAATTAATTTTTTAGATTTTTAAATGTTTTTTGTTTTGATTTAAAATATTTTATTGGATTGATTGATGAAGATAACCATTCATTCACAGGCGAAGCACAGCAGAGGAAAAAATTGTGGAAAGAGAAAAGTAATTTAAACGTCAATACAATTAATTTTCATTAAGAGTAATTTTTTGATTCAATAAATCAAGAGAAAATAAAAATAAATTAAGAGATTTGAAAATAAATAATATCAATTTTGGAAAGGATTTTTTTGTTTGATTTATGTGGATTTTTATTGTTTTAAAACATAAACTTTAAAAAAAGTTATTTGAAACCCCTACTCAAGTATTTTGTTAAATTGTAGGGATTAAAATTCTAGATCTGATTTTAAATTCTAAAACATTAGGTTTTTGAAAAGCATTTGACGCAATCAAAAACATTTGTCTTTGATTTTTTTTTAAAAAAGAATAAACAAATCTTTAAATAAAGTTGTAATTTAATAAAAAAATTCATCAGTTTTCTTAAAATTATGAGATTCGTTAGGACACTTTAAAAATTATGACCCTTTTATATAATTAAAGATATTTTAAAAATTAATAAGGATTAAAAAACTCAATTTTGTTCACTTGAGTTTAATAAAAGAATAAGATTAAAAATTATAATTGATATTTACCTAAACTAAAAAGCGAATAATTTTCCAATTTCAAGTTCAATTTTTTTATATCATTTTTTGTTTTATTAAAAATTACTGGAATAAAAATCAATTCCAATAATTTTAAAAATTTGGTTTTTTTTCTCAAGCATTTTAAAAATAATAAAATAGAATTTAGATAAAATGAATAAACATACAATAAACGAAAGACACAAAGAAAAAAGTAGTGGAAATTTAAAAAACATAAAGAAGACAGAAACGAAAGATAATAAAAATATATTGATTTGAATTTTCATCTTATTGATTTTCCGTGCAAAAATATAAATTTTCTTTTCCTTCTTATGAAAGTAACTGAGCGAAAGCTGATTAGAAACAGAAGAAAAATGCTCTTTGGAGTGAAGGAAAAAAAATTCAATGATGTGAAAATTTTGTCTTTATATAAGAGCATTAAATTTTCATGGTGCTTTATTTTCTCACTTTGATGAGACATAATAAATAAACGAGGACGCATATAACCGTATTACAGGAAGTTGAAGGCAACAATGATGCATGGAAAAGAAAGATGTTGAAGAAGGTATAGGATTGCTAATGTATAGATACCCTTTTCAATAACAAATTAATGAAACCTTGAATTTTCTTTGTATCATTGCAGATATTATTAGCCTCCTTTCTTTAAATCCAATTGTTTTTATTTGACTTTAAAAAACTAAAGTCATTTTATTTGCAATGTTGATTTTTTGTCCAAAAATTAATTAAAAATGTAAATATTCAATCATATTAAGTGTCAAAATACAAACTAGCTAAAAAATTTTTTACTTAAAAAAAATAGGAATGAAAATTCACAATGAAAAATCAAAACAAGAAGACGCTTAAAAATGCAAAGTTAGTTTCTCATTGACAAAATTAAAAGAATATTCTTAGAAAAAGAATATATCAATACTTCCTGTTCGTTAATACTTCTATTTTGCATGTATATTTATAATTTTACACGCGTTAAGTTTTAATGAATTAAAGAAAAAATATAAATTGAACAACCTTTTTTATCAGCTAAAATACTTAACAATATTTTAAAAAATCAAAAAAGTAATTTAGTAAAAGATTTGTCAAGATAAGAAAGAATCGGAATCCAAAGTAAAAAGTATTAAAAAAGATTAAATTAATAAAAATTATAATTTCATAAACAGCAAAATGCAAGAATAAGCGAATTATTTCATTTCAAAAAAGTAAATAGATTAGTAAGATTATTAATAAAATAAGTGCTTGAGAAAAATGCATTATCAAGAGAGAGTTAGAGAGATAGGTATATTGATATATATAATTAAATAAATGTTGAAAAATATTATGTTCAGGATTAAAAGTATTCGTTTTTTTTGTAGAAGTATATGAACTTGTTTGAAGGTTGAATGATAAAATTGGAAAATTACAAACGATTTTTATTAAAATAATAAATAAAAAGAAGATGAGAATTAATGAGAGTGATATGGGATAAAGGACAAAATGTAGGGAAATATTTAAGTAAAAAAAATCGAACAGAGTTTTTTTTTTGGAAATATAAAAATGATTAAAATTTTCCGAATATGACGATGAAAATGATCGAAGAATCGAAGTTCTTACTGCATTTTAGTTCAGTTTTTTTAAATTACGTATTATAGATTTTTAACTAAGGTTGCAGGTTGACAACATGAAATGAAAGTTAAAAACTGAAGTACATAAAAAATTTTGTTGATGGAATAATGAAAGTAAATTTGAACTGGGTGTAGAATATTTTTCCATCAAACATAAATAAAATAGATTGTAAGTTGACCATTTACTCTTTGCAAAGGACTTTAATAATTTTAAAAAAGATTTTCAGAAATTTTTCATATTTTAATTTTTTAGAAAAGAAGGTTATTTTAAGTTATTTTTGGTGTGTATGTAGATGCACAGCTTTTTAAGCATGGTTTAACAAAGAAATATCAACTGTATTTTTTAAATATAACCATTTGTCAAAGTTGTTATTCATATATTAGAGAGAATAATAAATAAATAAAGACGATTATTTAAATAAAAAATAAAAATATTAATTGTCCTTAGTTTAGGGATTTTCAGATTAAACATTCCATAAAGTGTGTGAGAAAACTGAAAATTAAAGTAAACTAAAGGTTGAAGAAAAAAATTAAAAATTAATGATAAAAAATGTATCTCCGAAAGTATTTTTTGACTTAAGTTGTCAATAAATTGAAATAAAATAAATAAGTATAATATGGAAAAGTTTTCATAGAAAGATAAAGAAAAAGGTGAATTGATTGTCTTACCTGACCACCTTCGCCTTCAACACTTTGCAATTCACGCCATTCTTCAATAGTTTGAGCCAAATCAATTTGACACAGTGGAACTTTTACTTCACCAATTTGGTCGTGTTTTGAGAATCGATCGAAATCAAAGATGGCAAACACCAAAGTTTTATTCATTGCCTCAGCATACGGCAAATTCTACAATGATTCATTAAGCAATGCAAAAAAAATATTTCGTTAGCTTTTAAGTCTTAAAAAGTTTTCATTTGTTTTCTAATATTTCACCTTGAACACAAATGTCTCATTAAATTCTGGATTGAGAGTCTTTCGATGCACCTTTGTTTCAAACTTTTTCTTCTTGTCAGGAAGTAAATAAACCTTAACGTAAGGATCCGATGTTCCTCCCATATCAAGTGCAGGCAATTCTTCGGCTTTAATAACACTAACAGCCAAACTGTTTGAGTTGAAATCATATTCCAGCTACAAAAATGAAGAAATTATTAGAATTATAGAAAAGATTGAGGGTTGTTCACTTCTGCCGTCCAAAAACAACAAACTTTTTGAAGCAATAAAAAAAAACGTCGTAAATGAACAAATTCTATTTTAAGCATTACCACATTTATCGCCATATTAAAAATTAACTCACTTTATATTGCAATTTTCCAAGTTTCTGTTCACTTTGTTTGCTGCCTTCATCTTCTTGCTCTTCAGCATTATCAGTCAATTCTTCCATATCAGGCTGGACCTATGTGATTGAATTTTTTGTGTCCAATTTAAATGACAAAGTTTTGAACGAGAAAGAAGGTTCGAATTAGATTTTAATTCTTAGAAATTTTATGCACTATAATAATTTTTATGACATATGGAAAAGCGATTAAAATTGTTCAAAAATGATAGTTGAAAATGATATAAATGACCAAAAATATTCATGTCTCTACACACGATTTACACGTATTTGTATAGAATTGTTTGGCACAATAATAAAATTTAACACAATATCAAGTTAATTTACATCTACACAGAGATAGATTAAGGGAAAGAAAATAACTCATTTAATCTCATATATATATTTGGTATAAGTTATTGCTTTATGTACTTTTTGTTATGTAATGTGTGATGATGGAAAGTAATGAAACATATAAGTATAGCTGAATAAGTAAATGATCAAACTCAAGTTGATTTTTCTTATTTACACTTTAATAGTGCACTACGTCGAAAAAGATTTATATAAATTATCCTAGCATTTTGATTTTTCTTGACCTATGAATTTTATTGATCTACCTCTCTGAAGTGATTCTTTCAAACCATAACTTGTTAATCGCCCGAAGCTTATCATTTCAGAACAAAAGCTATGAATTTCTTAAGCATTTTCAACAAAAAAAATTAATGCATATTTTTAAACGGGAAGCATTTAAATTAAAATAAGACATATCAGCAGATCATTCCTATATGACCATAGATTTTAGGCATAATCGTTACTATTTTACTTTTTTTTGCTTTTTAATAAGTAATAAATATTCTTGAGTTTTTATCGATACATATTGACTTTTGATGACGAAATAATCCTATTTATGAATCCTATAAAAAAATGCTTTCACTTTCTCATCTTACATTTCCTTCCGATTTAAATCTTTTCTGTTGTTTAGGCTCGTGTGTATAAAATACTAGATATGTAAGTGCGTGCTAAAATAACAATTTACTTAATTAACGAATTGATCCTTTTGCAGTACGATATTATCAATTTGCTCCTACTTTATTTTTTATTTAATATCCTTAGATTATTATATTTAATAACCTTTCTGGTTCACTCGTATTCTGACTACACGTTTTATGTGGAAATACTTTCAGGCTAAATCTTTTGTTCTAATTGTAAAATTTTAAATATTTTTAATGTTTGTGTATGTATTTACATAAAAAGATATTAAAAACTCAAGAAAATTGCACTAAAATATAAATCTAATGAAGACAAAAATCTATGGAAAATTTCTGGATACAAATTCGTAATTATAAAAATGATAAATTTATGCAATAAAACAATAAATTAATTTTGTTTTTGCTAAAAATGACGACAATAATGTTTTTAAATCACGTTAGGGTAAACATAAAGTTTTAAACTGTCTTAATAAAATCAATTCTCATTTTCAATCATCTTTTGCTTAATGATTAAATTTCATTAAGAATGACAGTCTAAAGCAGCGCTGTCCAAATTTTTTAAGCCACAGCACACTTTAGGGGTAAGCCATTACCAAAGTCGCACATAGTATGCGTCATTTCCAAAATCTCATTTTGATGAGAGATGATCAAAATGATTTTCAGTTATTTTTCTACAGCACTTAAGTGCTACGGCACACAGTTTGGACATCACTGGTCTAAAGCATTAAGGAAACAATATACTTTCTTGTATGATGTGATTAAAAATAAACTATTGTTGGTAAAAAAAAAACTATCGAGAGGAACAAGATAAAAATAGGAAAAAGGAACAATATGCAACATAATAATAATAATGTCATAGAGTAGAAATGAAAATGCGCGTCACCTGCATACAATATGTTCATTTATAAATACTTGGTAGTGTGGAATTAGAATGCTAGATCATTTCTAGGGAAATAGAGCCGAGAATGTCTTCAGTTTTAGCATAAACTTGTAGCATCAAATTGAATATACACAATATACACAGTCAATCAATCAATAAAGAAAGATAGAAAATGTTTTTCAGGCTCAATAGAATAATAAAAAGAAAGTCATGTACATAAGAATCAGAAATTATGTTTGTCAATAAGATTATATTATACGTGAATTACTCAAAAATAGAATTTAGAACAGAAAAGTTTGTAGACAGAAAAGATAAAAGATAACAAAAATTAGAATTACACACACAACATTCAATTAAGTACATAATATTATACGATTAACTTTATATATAGATCATTATTTTCATAGATATTGAACAGCCAAACATTCATGGACATGATTATATTAACCTTTTCTTTATAAGCAGATCCAAGTAACTGTACCGATTTCAAATCAACGCCTTTCATTCCCTTCTTTCCATCTTTAGAGCGTCGTTTACGGAAGCAACGTCGAATGCAAAATCCACATATGCCGAGGATAATAAGTGCGATGAGAATAAAGATTGCTACGACTCCCCATGGTGGTATGCCAGTCTTATCGCCTATAACGTTTGCTGCATTCATCCCAATATCTACACTCTTAGATACAATCGATTTCGTCGGTTCTGCAGTTGATTCCTCTTCTTTATTGGTATAAAGAGGAGAAATGATTTTTTTTTATAAAAAAAAAACAATTTTGCTTCCTTTTTTAATTTGCTTACCTTCTAACTCTGTGGTGGTCGATGGTGTTGTAATTCTAACTTTGTGCAGATGTTTACCAAAAATATGTGTACCCAGCGTCGTTGATCTTTGCTCCTCGTCCAAGTACTCATCTTCATCAGCTTGTGTGCCAGCTTGACGCTTCACTAATACTCTTTCTAAACCTGGAGCCATTTTTTCACACTACACAATGGTACACAGAAAAAAAAAACAATAAAACTAACATTAATCACAATCATTAAACAAGCCACACAATCGTTGATATTATGTATGTGACATAGATCGATAATATTTAATTTTTATTGTTTCTGCACTTTCATATGTTTTGTTTTTCTACGTCTCTATCTTATTTCACTATTTTGTCAACATTTATATTACTTTATTATGGATAAATGAAAATCATGCCGATTTATCTTCATATTCGTGCTCATTTATTGTTTTTTTTTTTTGGATTTGCTATGTTTTCATAGTCTATAAGTATAAATATGAATTGTAAGATATGATGAAATTAGGAATGCTTGTCAAAAGATTTATTAATCCATTAACGTAAGATTAACATGAGATAAAGATGATAAAGATTTTTAATGTCATTCGTTACTTGCATTAAAATATTTTAAAAAGCCTTAAAAATTGAAGGTTCATAATTCAAAGTTCATAATCAAGACTTAAAAGTAGATTTCTACGTGGAAAATAATTTAAGTTGAAGTTGGCAATCTGCCAAGTTTTTTTGGTAAAACTCGATAGCTTAATGATAAGATCATGTGAGAATAAATTAGAAGGGCGTGGGTTCAATGCACACTCGTGATTAAAGCTTCATTTTTAAAATGATTTCTTTCAAAAAATGGATATAAAACATACAAAAATCTTAGATAACGATTGTTAATTCACTAGAATAATTTCAAATCATTTCCATTGAGATTTTTCTGTGTTGGTTGTGAGCACTTTTTTCATGGTATGTGTTCCATTTTCTAAATCTTGGCTACAACTTGAGTTTCACTTTGCATAAAAGAACACTTAAAATCTGATATGATTCACCAATCTTGCCAATTTTCACAATGAGAATTGTAGGATATTTTTTTAATCCACAGAATTTAGTATCCCTTTTTCCAAATTTTCACTTCCATTTTAAACTTATTATGGATTTAAAATTTAAATTCTTGCAATAGTAAATGAATAAAATCCAAAGATATGGTAATTGCCACTTTTTCTCAATGAAAAGCTCATTTCCTTCTTTCTTCTTCGATTTTTTTTACATATAAAAAAGAGAATGAGAAAAACGGAACGAAAAAAAAATTATTGATCCAAAAAAATTTATTTGTTCTGCTTTCAAGAACACTTTATAGTTCATATACACAAAATTATCCATTTCCATAATTGATTGTTTTTACAAATCTTTCACTAAGAAAACTTTATATAATTCACTATTCATTGATCTGAATGCTCACCTATAATATTCACTTTAAAAAAAATCCAGTATTTCTAATAAAATATGTGTAACTAAAGTTTCAACTCTTAGGGAAAAATTAATGAAAGAAAAAATTTTCTCTATTTTCTCTGTGCTAAGGAAAAAGGAAAAATGGATTCCTTTTAGATTTTTTCTTGCACTCGTTGAAGTTGGAAATTTTGAATTTTTTATTGTACTTGAACTATTTTCACAATATATTCGTGCACATTCTGGATTCTCCTTATATGTACACCAATTAACACATCAATTTAACTCCAAATTTTGTTGATTAATCCAATAATCTAAATTAAAAATATTTTCTCGTCCTTTTCACTCTGACGATAGTCGCGAATTTCCGAATTTTTCACTACTGGACGGAGGAAAAATTTTCTTGAATGGAAATGGAAAAAAGAACGGCAGACACGAGAAACATAGAGAAAAAGTTTCGTATGTAGGGAAAATCGATAGCAATGACGATGAACGAAGAGAAAAAAGTTCATGCGCTTTTCGAAAGCTTTTCGATGCGCAAGGCTTTAATATAGAATGGAAGGAATGTGAACATAAAGTATACGCAGTGTTGATAAATGTGCGTTAGGCAACATCAGCATTTTGTACTACAAGATTGTATAGTGGAAAGTAAATAAAAAGAGCATCAGCATATTTGCCACGTTACTGACTTTTCAGGGTTTTGTTTCAATTAAAGTCACGTGCATTTTCTTGTAAATTTATCGTCAGTTAAAAGCGAATGTTGAGTTCAATCATTATCTCAGAATATGCACAAGAATATTTTCAAATGAATTCTGAGAATACCTTAATAACGCCATATTAACTATGCTGAAAAAAAGCTTTGAGGATGTAAAAAATAAATAAAATGCGTAAGCAATAATGTTGTACAAAGAAGAATTATTAGTTTATTTTTTATTTAAACTCAAGACTGCTTGCAGAATGTAGGCTACGTGATGTAGCACGTGTTAAAATTTATTTCTAAAATTTTATCACAGATTTAAATTATTTTTGAGGGCAGACATTTCGGTTTTATTGAGCGGCTTTAAACCAAACCCACTAGGCATGATATCCATCTCGAGATCTTTGTGCTTCTTTATCATCAGCAATTGCTCATCTCTCAAATTGTCAATCTCCTTATCAATATTTTTTTGTTCTATTTAATGTCAAATATTTTTATTTAAAATAAATATTAAGTTTAATGAAGATATTGTCATACCTTCCAATAATGCATCAATTGCTTTGTCACGTTCCATTTCAATTAATATAGAGCCAACCGTCATCCACACATTTTTTTCTTCGGATTTTCTTAGTTCCCTTAGTGCTTCTCGATTGCCTTGACGTTTCATGTCATATTCAACAATCAGTTGCTTGTTTTGAAGTATCTGATCTGCTACTCTTTCATTTTCCAAAATAATCTCATAAACTTTGGTATTAACTGCCATCTGCAAGTACAAAGAGCAGAAAAGATTATGAAAGTTCACGTCTAATTAATTGTTCGCGTTTCTTTTCTTTTAAACTTTGCTTTAAAATTTCTTTTCGTGTCAAAGCAGGTAGTTGTGGCTTAAAATGAACAGCACGAGTATCGTTAGCTTTAAAATGTGTAATTTTAGGATCATCTTGTTTTATTCCAAGTCCAGTTCGACCTTTTCTTAAAACAGTTTTTACTGGATACATTTTTCCATTTCTTTTAGCACCCAAGGCAGAGCTTCCATCCCAACCAATAGTTTTCATGATCTTAAATCCTTTATTTGAATTAGCAATACCAAATGACTTAACACTCGCGTCAGTATTGTACTTGCAACTAAATAAATGAACTGTTGAAGACTGATGTGACTTTGATGAAGACTTTTTAATTTCTATCTTGCAATCAGGACAAAAAAGAATTTCATCTTGCTGTTCTCCTTCTACTTCTTCATTAGATGATACAGAGAAGTTTCTATTGCTGTAATACTCCTCTATGATATTCAAGATTTCATTATGATTATTCTTTTTAGCTAATGAGACTGCTGTATTTCCTGTTCGATCTTTAAAATCCAAACTTGCATTATAATCTATGAGCAGCGATTTAAAGCTATCAGTTGAACCCTCACAAGCTGATATCATTAATGCTGTCCATCCAAAATTATCAACCGCATTTATATCAACATCAATGGATGTTTTAATTAGATTATTAATCCCGTCTGGATCATTATTTAAAGCTAAACGAAAGAATTTTGTCTTACAAAACGGAACTTTTTTTATTTTTTCCTTCTTCAGACTATTTTTGGGTTTTGGCTGTTCAATTTCAATTGGATTTTGATTTGAAGTTGATGGCATATTTAAAACTTCCTGATAAAACTCACTAGAATGTCTTTCCGAAATTTCATATTTTATTTCTTCAGATTTCACAAATTTGTGATTTTCAGTTCCACTGGATTTAATAAATATTTTAGGCTTAAAATGCACAGATGCCAATGCTCTCCAATTTGCATGTAATTGTTGTGCATTATTATCATTTAATTCGCTAGTATCCTCCATTGAACATTCTTATATTGCTTAAAATTAAAAATAAAATATCTTACTTCTGTTTGTTTACAAACAAATCGACAGACAGCTGAAATCGTTTCGAAAATAGTGCGGCAAGTGTTGATTTCAAATATTATTTAACCATTACATTCCCCGCACACATACATACAAAACAATTTGACGAAACTTTTTGCTCGAAGCAATTTCATTAACTTTAGTTTATTTAATCATTCCAGATTGTTAATTGTAGATCGTTGTTATTGATAAAATAATACGTACAATAATAACTAGATAGATACGACGCAACAATAATTTGTTTTATATTAAAGAGTGGAAAGAACGTACATTTTTAAAAAATATTAAGTGCTATGTTGAAATATCTTGTTTTGCTTGTGATTTGTTTTTGGTCAATTCATTCACTTCCAGTAAAAGAGTCATCGACTCAAAAAAGTTCTACTGAACATAATGAGGAAGAAAATCCAGCACAGAACTTAGAAAATATTATAGGTAGCTATTTGTTTTTTTTTTGACACATCTCACTTTTTTCATCATCATCATTATTACAAAATTTCTTACAGAATATGAAAGATACTTAAAGGAAGTAGTTTCTTTATTGGAATCAGACACTGAATTCAGAAAAAAATTAGACTCTGCAAATGAGGCTGATATAAGGAGTGGTAAAATTGCACAAGAATTAGAATTAGTTGATCATAATGTGAGAACTAAGCTTGATGAGTTAAAGCGTAGTGAACTAGAGCGATTACGTGGCCTTGCAATGCAAATGTATGAGAGAACCAATGAAATTGACAGAAGGCATTTGAAAATAGCTGAACATCTTGATCATGATAATCAACATACATTTGAAATCGAGGACTTACGAAAATTGATCGTAAAGACAGGTGAAGACTTGGCAGAAGCTGATAGAAGACGTCGTGAAGAGTTCAAGGAATATGAATTACAAAAGGAATTTGAAAAGCAAGAAAAGTTGAGGGAAATGGATGAAGACCATCGTAAGAAATTTGAGCAAGATATTAAACAAATGACAGAAAAGCATAACAAGCATCAAAAAGTTCATCATCCTGGCTCGAAAGATCAACTTGAAGAAGTATGGGAAAAACAGGACCATATGAGTCCTGAAGATTTTGATCCTAAAAAGTTCTTTATGATGCATGACGTTGATGGAAATGGCTTTTGGGATGAACAAGAAGTAAAGGCACTTTTTAAGACGGAATTAGATAAGGTTTATCAACAAGGTTTACCAGAAGATGATATGCGCGAAAGGGCTGAAGAAATGGAAAGAATGCGAGAACATGTATTCAAAGAAGCCGACACTGATCGTGACCATTTAATTAGTTTTAATGAATTTATTGACCAAACAAGGAGGCGTGAGTTCCAACAAGACCAAGGTAAATTTTATGACATTTTTTAACGACATAATTATTTGTTAACGACATGCTTACTTATTTGTACAATATGGTTTGCCTGTGTGCATTCAAAATGTTTCAAGTGTAATAAGCACATAGTTTTTCAATGAATGAAAAAAACTTGGATAATCATAGTTGATTTAAAACATGCAGTGATTTTGTGACTAATTTTTTCTTTGCTCAATTTAATTGTGTTTACTTGAATATTGTAAAATCCCAACGTATTGTGAAAACAAAACTGACGTATTATTTATTTAAGGATGGGATACTGTTGATCAACAACCACAGTTTTCGCACGATGAATATTTGGAATTCGAAAGACGAAGACAAGAAGAGATCCAACGACTAATCGCTGAGGGTAGACTTCCTCCCCATCCTCAAATGCCTTATGCTTATGATCCAAACATGGCTGGTGTAAGTTTTTACTACTAATTTGTGTTATTTTAATAGTTTTAAATTAAAAACTTGTTTCCTTTAGGGTCAATATCAAGTTCCCCATCCAAATGCCGTTCCTCAATATCATCCCAATGTAGTTCCCGCTAATCAATATCATCCTAATGCAGTACCACAAAATCATCCACAACCAGAGCAACAGAATAATCATGGCCAAAATATTCAGTCTCAGCATCAACAGCAAATGAATCAACAATACTCCGCTCAACAAGCCCAACAAGCCCTACATAATCAACAAATGGGACAAAACGTACAGCAGCAGCAGCAACAACAACAACCACCTGCCCAAAATCAACCGAACACAGTACAGCAAGCAGTACAAAGCCAACCTAAACCATCATCCGAAAAACAACCCCCAAATGCTCATCCTCAATCGAATGAAATTCCACATAAACAATAATTTTTTTACAGCCTGACTTAATATTCTTCCTACATATTTGAACTATTAGCGAAATTACAATTTTAATTTTGTACTTTAAACATTCTGCTATCAACTATGAAAATATCTTAATTTTCATGCATGCATTTTTTTAAAAAATGAGACGAATGTGCTGAAAACTGACTAAAGTGATTGTGAAAGTTATAAAACCAATATAATAAATTATAAATTGTTGATGGACGAATAATCACTTGTCATTTCTTTTGCTAATTTATAATTTTAATTTCTATAATAAAAAAGCCAAATTCCTTGAATCACTGACTATAGAATGAAAGCCGTGTGAAGCCAATGATTTGGGGGGTGTTGACAAGGTGGGTTTTGTGTATTCACACAAAATTTTGAGGAAAGACTGATTGATCCTATAAACATTAAGGTTATATGCGTCTTGCAGTTATTTACAAAATAGGAATCAAATTTACAAATTAGGAATGCCTGAATTTCTTTAATTTTATATTTCCAAGTGGCTTCGTCATCATATCAGCTATATTCACATCAGTGCTGCAATATTTCAGTTCAATCTCTCCTAAATCAACCAATTGCTTCACATAGTGATATTTAGTATCGATGTGCTTGCTTCTGTTGCTAAATTTCTGATTGGATATCAGCTTCATACTACTTTGACTGTCTGTATACAGAGTAATTTTATCAGGAACGGCAAACTCAGAAAAAGAATTGGTCAACATTTTAACCCATTTTAGCTCTTTGCAACTTTCTGAGAGTGCGATGTATTCAGCCTCCATCGATGATAACGATGATTCTGCTGCACCATAAAACAACACCTCCATTAATTCCACAAAGAAAACCACTGATCGATTTTCGGTCCAACGAATCTTCAGCCCAGTTTGCATCAGAATAAACTTCCAACTCTCCAACTTTTTTCTTATCACTCAACATCAAACTTAGATTCTTGGTACCATTCAAATAGCGAATAATTCTCCTCGCTTCTATCAAATCGGTCTTTGTTGGTTTTGAAATCTTTTGACTCAATATTCCAACAGATGCAGCGATATCAGGTCTTGTATTTGTGCTAACATACAACAGTTTACCAATGAGTTTTCTATACTCATTATTTGATTCTAAATAATTCTCATCATGATGCCTAAAATAGCCAGTCATCAAAGGATATTTTGAAAATTTTCCATCATTAAGTCCAGCTTCTTCCACAATCTTCTCAATGTATTGTTTCTGATTTATATGAAAATTTCCATCTTTATCACGTTTCACATCAATTCCTAAAAAGTGCTTTACACTTCCCATATCTTTTACTTCAAAAAGACTTGCAATGTGATTTTTAAATTGTTCTATCAATTTTTCATTAATCGATGCGACTAGAATGTCATCGACGTGAACAATCATATAGCAAGTATCATTTCCTTTCTTCATGCTATACCAGAGATCGAAGCCGATTTTTTCGGCTTAACTCAATTTTTGATTTTTTTGATAGAAAAAAGCCATTTAACACCCATTTTAAGTATTTAAATTGAACTTTACATGCTTTACTATGATTCTGTGAAATATTTTTTCAGCATGTAGCTATAGTAAGCTCAGAATTTCAATTTAGTCGATTATAAGCCGATCGGCTTAAATTTCGGCTTAACATTCTTTAACTTAAAATTCTGAGCTCACTATAGCTACATGCTGAAAAAATATTTCACAGAATCATAGTAAAGCATGTAAAGTTCAATTTAAATACTTAAAATGGGTGTTAAATGGCTTTTTTCTTTAAAAAAAATCAAAAATTGAGTCAAGCCGAAAAGATTGGCTTCGATCTCTGTGCTATACAGACATTTATCAACTTCGCTTTGCTTAAATCCAAAACTAATCACTGCTTCATGATAAATTTTATTCCATGCTCTTGCTGCTTGCTTTAATCCATAAAGGCTTTTTCTTAACTTGCAAGCATCATTTCCCTTCTCAAATCCAGGTGGTTGCTTCATATATATCACCTCCTCGATATTGCCATTCAAAAATGCAGTCTTAATATCAAACTGCTTAACATGAAAATTATTAACACCAGCTATCGACATAAGAATCCTAAATGTTGCTGATCGAGCTACTGGTGCAAACACTTCATCATAATCTTCACCATACTTCTGAGAAAATCCTTGAGCAACCAATCTTGCTTTATATGATACCTGACCATTATCATCTCGCTTAAGCTTGTAAACCCATTTAAAACCTATTGCACGTTTATTCTTTGGCAATTTCACAAGATCCCAGGTTTTATTTTGATTAATGGACTTAATCTCGTCTTCCATAGCTTTTTTCCACTTATCAGCATCAACACAACTCATAGCCTGTTTGAGTGTCTTAGGCTCAAAATCAACTCTTGATGAATAAGTAACAAAATCACCAAGACGTTCTGGTTTTTGACCTTTATTTCTTCTACTTGATACTCTGATTTCATCACTTCTTCCATTCTCCTCCTGAACCGAAACGTTTTGATCATTCATTAAATTATGATCATCGACGATTTCCTGACTTTAGTCATTCTCAAATTCTCCATGTTCAAAATGATCTTTATCTTCATCATCTAAATGATCTTCTACCTCATATTCATCTTGTGAGTCCTCAGCATCAAAGAACAATTCAGAATTATTTAGACTTTGAACATCATTCCTTGCATCAGTCGAAAATGGAAACGGCACCAAATCACTGTTGCTATTGTTCATTTCATTGGATGAATTCTGACTTATCCTCATAAACTTTTCTTTCAAAAACACAACATCACGTGACACAATTATCTTGCGCTGTTTCACATTTGCAAGTCGATATGCTTTCGACCATCCGTCATATCCTACGAACGCTAACTTTTCTGCCTTGTGATTTAACTTCTTTCTCTTTTGATGAGGAATCATCACATAAGCACTAACTCCAAATTCTTTAAAGTTTGAAAAATCTGGCTTCTTGTCAAAGAACTTCTCATATGGAGACTTTGGATCATCTTTGCTCACAACACGATTCAATGAGAAATTGGCATTCATTATAGCTTCGTCCCAGTACTCTCGTGGCATTTCTGACTCAGTTTGCATCGTCCTACATGCCTCAACTAAAGTTCTATTCTTTCTCTCAGAAATACCATTTTGCTCTGGTGAGTAAGCCACAGTACACTGAAATCGAATACCCTCTGAACGTAAATACTTCTGAGCTTCCTCACTTAAGTATTCTGTGCCTCGATCTGTGCGGAACATTTTAACTTTCCGACCGAAAGTGTTTTTCAACAGTTCAAAATACTCTATGACTTTAGACTGCACTTCACTCTTTGCTTTCAAAAGATATACTGCCGTACATTTTGAATAAACATCCGTAAATGTTGCAAAATATCTATATCCTCCAACTGAGGTAGTTGGCATAGGGCCACAAATATCACTGACTACACAGTCAAGTGTATTTTCAACAGGTATTGCCTTCTTTGGAAACGGATTTCTAGAAATCTTCTCTACAATGCACGATTCACACACATTTGTGCAATCACAATCGGCAATCTTCAAACCTTTATCCCTCATCGCGAGTATATCATGCAAATTTCTTTGAGCTAGTTTTCGATGCCATTCATGTACACAGCATCTATCCACTCTGTCGTTATTTAAACATGATCTTTCGACTTCAGCTCTTACAACATACATATCGCCTGATTTCTCAGCAATCTGCAATTGTTCCACACCTTCTACTTTAAGGTAACAACCAGCTGAATCAAAGACAGTTTTATAGCCCTTATTACAGAGCTTTGAGACAGAGATCAAATTACTGTCAATGCATGGCACCAGAAGTACGTCAGTTAAATCTACACTAAAACTTTCGTTTCGTACAAATACATTCAAACGGACATTTCCTCTCCCTATGTACTCAACCTTCTCACCATTAGCAATAGTAACTGTTCCCTTAACACTTTCATCAAAAGTAATGAAAAACGACTTACTGTATGTCATGTGAGACGAAGCTCCTGAGTCGATACACCACTGAGAGTCTCTCGGATCATAAGAACTTCTGGGCCCTCCTCTAAATTTTGCCATTTTGACAGTTTCATCCTTGCCTTCTTCCTTTTCTTCAATATTCAACATCGGACAATTTCGCTTGATATGTCCTTCTTGCTTGCATTTAAAGCACATGATGTGTTTTTTCATATCAATTTCAGCACTATTGACACAATAAACATCAGATCTTTTGCTTGCATGTTCACTTCGCCTTTCCCATTCATCGATAAGTTTGAGTTTAACATTATGCACAGTTAGCTCCTTCTCTTTCCATGATTCCAATCCAGTCACTAAATTATCATATTCAGCATGTAGACTTGACAGAATTGCATTCACAACCATTTTGTCTTCAAGCTCATCACCACAATCCTTGATATTTTGAACTATCTCTAACAATTTTTGCAAATGTTTCTGCATGTCACCACCAATTGATAATTCAGTCTTGAATAATTGCTTGTAAAGCCTCACCTTATGTCCAACTGAATCATTATGGTGAAAACTCTTCAATGAATCCCATGCTTCTTTGCCATCTTTTGCTTCCGAAACATGGACCAGTTGATCATTATCAATTATCAATACAATGTGCGCCAATGCTTTCAAGCTTCTAACTGCATCTTTTGGTTTTGAGCTCTCTGGTTCGATGACATCCCATAGATCTTCCCTGATCAAAATCATCTTCATTCCAAACGCCCAAACACGATAATTTAAGCAGTTCAACCGCTCGTACATGGCAAATTCCTTTTCTAACAGCTTCATTGCGTTAAGGCCCATAACCTCTTAGATAATGTAAAAATGGTATACTTTATTTTAATCCTTCCAAATAACAAAATGTAATTTAACTTCAAATAATCCTTTTTCTCAATAATAACTATTCAATAATAGTAAGATTCCTACGATCAATATAAATGTAACATAATAATTCAACATCCTATGATCAATAATGTTGATCCTATTCGTATGAAATAGGATATCTAGGAAGATTTGAGAGTAAAAACGACACTCGACTTTGTTCGCAAAATATTTATTTTCGTAATTGCTTTTAAACCACTCACTCACTTCGAATCTTACGTCTATTTTCATTCATTCATTTACATCTATATTCTTTAATATTTTTTTGTCATATCAGCAGGTAATTTATTCCTTTGTGAAGAAAAGTCACGTAGTGAAAAATTTTAATAATGAAAGACTTTTCTTTGAGGGAATTTTCATCTCACCATGTGAATACCACCGTCACTATCATCATCATTTTCAATTTCTTCTTCGTATTCATCTACTTGATTTACAAAGCTACAGCTGTTCATCGTGTCTCTTTCTAATATTTCATTAATTTCTCGCAAAAGTTCCTCGTGTCTTTTTGCAGAACATAAAGCAGTATCAATTTGTATGATCTCGTCTAATCTATCTATATTCATGACATATTGTAAATGTTTTCTATCATAATGAATTATATTTGTAAATCGATATCCCCACAAGATTTCTGTTGAAAGATAGCTACTACGTGCCTGACACATCTGACCAGTATGTCTTGAGATACCTGTCATTGAAGCAACTAGCTCAAACCTAAATGATCATGAGAAAAATTAAAAATTATAGAAAAACTAGTAATGAAGCAGATCACGCTTCATGGAAATATTCACACCATCCTTTAGAACTCTCTATGTATTGCTCAGAGATCGAAGCCGATTTTTTCGGCTTAACTCAATTTTTGATTTTTTTGATAGAAAAAAGCCATTTGACACCCATTTCAAGTATTTAAATTGAACTTTACATGCTTTACTTTGATTCTGTGTAATATTTTGTCAGCATGTAGCTATAGTGAGCTCAGAATTTCAATTTAGCCGATTTTAAGCCGATCGGGGGGAGGGGGTTCTGAGTTGTAACATATTGTAACAAGGAGGTGAGGGAGGGGGGGTGAAAAAAGTCGTTTTTTTCGTAACGTAATAAGTGAACAGCCTCTTACCCGACTTTACATAAACACTTTGTTGCAATATGTATCAACGCAAATAAAAGTTTTACAACGAAAATTTAGAAATCATGGACACATTTTTTGATTCCATTTCCTGCATAGAATACAGTTTTCTTATATTCTTTATCCTTATTCAGTTCCTACATACAAATGTTTTCTCTAATATGAAAACAAAAACAATAATGCTATGATCGGCTATATTTTATCCAAAATTGACAGGCACTGACTTTTACATACCAGCCTGAAGCAGCAAGTTAAAAAACAGTAGTTTCACTGTATTATCAAAAACAATATATTCGCCCAGATTAAAAAATTTGGTGTGAATATGAAATAAAATTAAGAAGCGAACCTTCTTTCTAGTAAATCCTTTGCACTCATATCATAAAATGGTGATTGCTCGTCAATAAAATGACAAATTGTCTGTGGCCAAATGAGAAAAACTCGTCCATTATTCTCTAAATCTATTCTTTTTTGACCCTTTCCTATCCTTTCACCTTCGGGACTTATTTGTTCTTCAAATAAGTATGCTCTTATCTTTGTATCAATAGAATGAGATTGATTGAAGTCAGCAACACGAAATAGTAAACAAAGTTTTCCGTCTCGTTGACATATTACTGCTCTCTTACTGAATTTAAAATCTGCGTATTTTGGGGGTCGCACAATTTTTACATAGAATATTCCTACAACTGCTGCATCAATGACTAATCCTATGATTAATTGAACGATTAACACAAAAATAGCTTCAGGACATTGCTCAGTCGGATACCTTGTCGACATAAATATGAAAATATTATTGTTTTAACGAATGTTCAATCAATTATAGAATTAAGTGATTAAAAATGTAAAGCACATACCAAGTTCCATAGCCTGTTGAAACCTGACTTTCAACACTAAATAAGAAAAACCCGGCAAATGATTTTGCTTCAACAATGCATGGAATATGTCCATTAGGTATTCTTTTACCACTATCATCAAATTCAAGGTCACCATTTGCCCATGCTATAACCCAATAAATTAGAGCAAAAGAAATCCATGATCCGAAGAATGCAAAAGCAAAAAATAATAATACATAACGCCATTGAGTCTCTACGAGCGTATGCACGAGATCTTTGATAAATCTATATGATTTTTCCGGAAGATTTTTGGCATGAATATTTCGATCGCCGGCTTTATTGACTACTCGAGCAGGTTTAATTGCTCGAATACCATGATATTGCGGATCTCTTCTATTTCTCAAACTCAGCATACTAGGTTCTTTTTTCATTACAATCGGTAGCTGAAAATCTATAGATGAGATTTCACTATACTTTGTTATCAAACCTACACATTTAGATTATAAATGATTACCCTTAAGCTTATGATTCATATTTTCATTAAACTTGTCGATTTCATCGTCCGATGAAGGTTGCATTAAAATTGATGACCATTTGTCTTCTGGCTCAATTCCTTCTGTAATTTTTATTTCAGATGCTGAGATTTTATTTTTATAAGGACTTGTGGATAGCGGCTCAAGTAAAATGTTGTCTATTCCAATAGTTCTTTGCGGAATTTCATCACAACGATTCACTCTTATTAAAGGCATTGATACAATTTGAGGAAAAGTCTTTTTTGGCATTTTGATTTTGAGTTACTATCTTTTACTTCGGGATTACTTTAAATCTAAATTAATGTAATTATTTTTGACGCGAACAAATAAGAATTCTCTTATTATATGAGTTTATTCAACCGATAGTTATTATTTTTAGATTGTAAAACAGATGACCAGTCATGAAATGCTACAATTTAACCGATATTTTATTAAACTTTCTTTCTTTCGGAGAGAACAGACTTCCAGTAAATTGAAGACGAAAAAAAAGAATTTTTATTTACGATTTAAGCGTACGACATCTAAGCTATGTCTAAATGTGACTGATTATTTGGAATATTTTTCTCACACATTTTTATTATCACTGAAATGAGAATACCAAAACAAAGCTTAAATCGTAGTGATGATAAGGGGTCCTGAACAAATGATGTGTTATTTCTAAGAGAGAATCATAGCTTGGAATAAAGTGATAATATACCCAAAACAGAATTAAATGAAGATCTCATATTTTGATGAACATCATTTACAGACGAGCTTCTATACTGTGGAAAGGCTCTAGTCATAGCGAGTATTATGGAAAAATATTGTTATCAATAATAATATGTGTGAATAAAAATTGCATTCATTCTGTTTCTGTTCTTAAAGTGTATGTTGACATATACAGTAATAATAAATTGAGAGGGAGATCTTGAGTAGGATGAATCATGTTACAGTATTGTTTGTTCGCTAAAAAGTCGATTAAAGTTTATTTCTCACGTTACGATGCCCAAAAAGAAATACATTATTATTTTTAAACAAAACATAGACGATCTTTAAAAAAATGTCAAAACTTATAAATGGTTTACAATTTCTCATATTCATATGAGGTAAATGTACGAGTGTATGAACTGAGACATAATTTAAATAGGCCAAAAATATATAAATTAATGATGAAGAAAAAAGTTTAGGTTGCAATTAGATACACTCAATCAGGTGATTCCTCATTTTCTTGCCAAAAGATCTCATCAGTATATGATGCCCCAGTATGAAAATTTGACAAAATAAATCTTCATCAAATATGAAATAATATATTTTGTTTTTACAAGACACACTTTATACTTCCGGACATCTCAAAATAAAAGCGTGTAAAAATTGAGAACATTCTCATTGTTTTAAATTGAAGTCAATCAAGATGTTTATAATACAATATTTTTGGGCTTAAAAAATATATAAATTACTAAGAAAATAAGATACTTTGTTTTGTTCGCCTGCCAGTTCCTTATTCGTACACGTACCATGGGATATTTAATGAATCATCTTTACCAGAAATATTTTATGAAGTAAATGATGAAATTGTTTTTGATACAATTCTTGGTACCAATTCGCAGTTAATACCAAACGAAAATAATCTTTGCTTTCAATTGATTGTAAAATTTTCGCATGAGCATTTGTGGAAATTATAAATCTATAGTCATGAGTGCAAAACTGAAAATTCGTTTTCCTGCTGTGAACGAGAAAAATTAAATATCAATTAACCCGTAAAGATGAGGAAAATTGCGTTTTTTCTTTCAAAAATATTGATTTCATCATATCAAGTAACTCTAAGTAGCTTAAAGGATTTATTTAATATTACTCTGCAAAATGTTTATCACGTGGAAATAGTCTGATTTTTTAAAAAAATAATATAATTAATTAATTCCTTCCTACGAAAAGTTAAGTCAAAATTTAAAAGAATCATCTTCATGATGTTATGATTTACTCAAATCCTGGAATTATTGGTTTGTAAATATTCATTTGAAAGGTTTCCAATAAACATTTCTCAGATTTTCAAAAGATATTTTTTTTGATAGAAATCTTTTTGAGCACGAGAACTAAAACATTTATGAAATGATTTCATGCAGTTTGCTTTTTTGGAACAAGATCTTGAAAAATGAATTTAAATAAAAATGTATTCAAAAAATGAAGAATTAGGACGTTTGTTAACCTGTCGCACTATCTAATGATTACTTTGGAAGAGAATCAAAATCTGTATCTGCACATAGTTTTGTTTTAAACACAAATATATGAACCATCTTGTCTGATAAACAAACATATGATGGACATTAATAAAAAATTACAGACATATTAATATGACAATATCTCACACAGCTTCGAATGTCGTCAGAGTCAGACTTACTCTTGTTTTTACTCACTTTTATGCGATAGAAATAAATAAGTGGAAAGCGTTAAAATAAAATTGCATCTATATTCATATTTACAACTACGTATAGAGAAGATCTGTGTAACATGTGAAGGAGAATACACATGTGATGTTAAAAAAAAAGAAGAAACAATTTTCTTTTAAAAATAGCCCACCTTTATTTAAATTATAATTCCTTTATGTATGTAAATCGTCACTGGTCAGTGAATTATAAATTTCCTTCTGCGAAATGTAATTGTGAAAACAATTAAAGTGCACATCAAATTACACTCATATGTAGGAGTGGAAGCAGATGAAAATTACCGGCTAGCTAATCGACAAAATTGCAATACTAGGAAAAACAATTTCTCCTTCCATAAAATCCAAACAAATATTACACACATTGTGGAATCATCTGCTGACTCATGTGTTTACATTTAAAATCCACTTTCCTGCTCGCTAAATGCTTTAACTTTGTTAAGTTTTAATGGCTTAAATTTGTAATTTCTTTCATGTACGGAAACTTTTGATGCTCCCTAACAAGTATTGTGTTGAGATTTTTATCGGATAATCTGACGATTTAATTCTCATAATATGGAGTTGCTTCACAAGACACTCGATAACAACAAATTAAATGAAAACGTTTTTTGAGTGAAAAACAAGAAGAAAGAAGTAAAAATATAAATCTAAAATTAGAACTGACTGTCCATTTTCAATTCAAAAACCGTGTGTACCGATTCTCAATATTTTCTTTTCTTCCTTTAAACATCAAATGAAGAGAAAGAAAACAGTTTTTCTTTAGTATATAAGCGGGTAAATAACATGTATATGCAAAGAATAAGACTTTTGGTTTTTTTGGCAAGCAATTCCCTTACGTTTCAAAACCCCAATAATTGAATTGTGATGACAAAAAAAAAACTATTTTTTCCTCTTAAGCATCACAGTGTGAAAAGTTTGTTTGCTTCTTTGTATATGCATCACAGTTACGAAATAGAATTTTTATTTCTTCTTGATGTTCTTTATTATTCATTTATTATTTTAATGGAAATCACCTGCGAGATTGAGATGCAATATTTGATGAAAAATTTACATGATGATAACATTTTTTATTTTACTCATTTTCACGTAGGATGTTTACTTTCCTCTTTTACTTTTCAGTTTACAATTTAGGTTAATGTTTTCTTAATATATACATTAACTTTCGAAATATATTCATGCATTTTTTATCATATTTTTCATGCCAATCTATATAAGATGTCTATGAACTGTCTTCACTCATAACTTTACTTTTAGAAATGTCTTTTCACATCATACAGTTGACGCAACTTAGACATTAAATATTTTTTATTATCGAAAGGAAAAAAATGATCTAAATCATAATAAATGGCTTTCAATTGATGCTTTTGTTTGGTTTTTAATAATTGGGTCATTATGTTCCATCATGTAATCATTATTATCCTATTCCCGAATAGCACAAGTCGGTTAATCGAGTAAAAATACGGCGCCAAGCCAGCATGACTCAAGCAAGGTGCTGACTTTGATTTAAATCCAGCACAATGCCAGAGTCACACCGATTTAAGTCGGATTTCTGATCGAATTACCGGCTTGTGCTATTCGGGATTGTCATAAATGATCACGTTTGTCTATGTCATAAAACGGGCGAGTTCATGGTAATGAAAATCCGATAATCATTTCTATTCTAGCTTGATCGAAATTGTATACACAATGTTGTGATAATAGGGAGAGTGGATCTGAAAATTCAAAAGTAATAATGAAGATCTTTGTAGATTAATCATAGAACAAGTCGCAATTTATTCAAAAAAGGATAAAATATGGCATATAAATTAAAGTAGTTCCAATCGACAACGTTTTAAAAAACTTAAACTGCTAAATTTCTCAATTAAATTGTTATGACATTAAAGAAATTCGAATTTTTTTAAATTGGTGCGCAAATATAAACTCGCACGTGCATTTGAAGTCATAATTTTGTCAATCTTTTTTTGTATGCGATTTTTAATTCAAACATTTGATATTAAAATTAGGAAGAAAGTGATTGTAATTTGCACTTTTCTTTCTCTTCATTGTGAATTTTTTTTTCTTACTGCACACATGTAAATCTAAGAAAAATCTCCTGAATAGAAAATAAGTTGCTATTTGTATTCGCACATTTGATCTGTGTTTGTAGTTTGTTTCAAAAAAATATAACAATACAGACAAAATATTCGGTTCATAATCATCACTATAAGCAGTGTCGGATGAAGACAAATTATTGGATATTCCTGTGAATTTATTTTTCCCCTATGTCCACATCATACATTTCACAAATACTTGTAAATGAAAAGAAATGAAAAAAAAGTTTCATCCGAAGATGTTCATTTAAAAGCAGTTGGAAAACTCATTTTCATTTTAACCGAGATTATTAAACGATCACGAGCTATTTTTTCGCGTAAAAAGTGTAAGAATTTTTTTTACTAATAGCTACACACAGTGCTCAAAAGTAATAGTGAAAAAATACTTTTTCTTTGAATTAAAATGTAAAAATTATTAACTTAAATCATAAAAAGACAAAAAGTGAAATAATATTTCAAATGATGATATAAAATGTTGGCAATTAGTGTACTGATTGATAGCCGTTTTTTATGCAAATTAAATGAAAATTAATAGAGTGCAAAAGAAGAAAAGAGAAAATAAAAATGTTCGTTTTTCTTCCTCAACTTGTTAAAGAAAAAAAAAAGTGTGAAGGAGTAAAATTTTCTGTCTTTTGAAATATAAAAGAAATTTATTTTTTTTTTTTGAGAATACAAGAAGAAGAAAAATAAGAAATGAAATAATTCTTGGAAAAAAAATAAAAAATGTGTAAAGTCAGACATACGAATATGAATAATTTCGTAAAGGAAAAATAAGCATGACATAAATGTGAAGGAAGACAGAAGAATTTTTTTTAAATAAATTAAA